CAACCCTAAATTTGTGGGGTTTTGGAGCTGAGGGATTTGGGCCGCTATGGGTTCCTCCTGCCCAGCTCCCAGATCGTCCCCACCGCCACCGAGACCTGGCCGGYGCTCCTGGACATCATGGACGTTTTCCCCTCRCGGTTTTGGCTCAAAATCCCCATCCTTTGGAACCGACAGCCAACRYGGGAGGAGATGGGGATTTTTGRGCAAYCAACCCTAAATTTGYRGGGTTTTGAGCAGCTTTGCTCCATCATTCCTTCCCAAGGGGATGTGGGGCACAYCCCAGACCATGGCTGGGTGCGAGGCGCTCGCTGTTGATTTTGGGCTCCTGGCACCRGCTCTGCCCCCTGTCCTGGGTTGAGCCACACCAGAGTCCTGAGCCAAACCAGTTCCCCACCATCGTGGTGCTGGGATCCAGCTCACCGAGCCCCATGGGTGAAAAATCCAAATTTTGTGCTTTCTCATCCTGATTTTCTACTTTCCCTGCCCTCAGCTGGCACCGGGGGCGGTGGGATTTGGGCACCTCCCGGTGTCACCGTGCCAGCAGTGACTCAATCCAGGCCTGGCCGGTTCCTGGGACAGGTTTAGCCAGGACTGGGAGTGCCGGGATGGGGAACARCAGGGCCTGACCTTGGCTGGTGGCAGCCAGAGCCTTCCCACGGYCCTGGGAACGGGGACAGCTGTGGGGCCGCCGTCCCCATGGGATTTAAGAGGCCCCAGGGTGCTGTTGGGACCCAAGAGTGGCTCTCCCCGCTGACCATGAGGCTCCCCGTGCTCCTGGCTGCCCTGGTGGCAGTGGCCACCTGCACCGAGACCTTTGTTGGGTAGGGGGGCCGAGATGGGGATGGTGGCACCGGGAGGGGCAGAAGGAGCGGGTTCAGCCCTGGGGAGTGCGGGGAAAAGGTTCAGGGGAAACCCCTGGGATGGGGGGATACATGGGGTGGGGTTAGGCCGGACTAACAGGGCCAGAGCTCATCCCACAGTCCCCAGCACCCCCTGACCCCACAGGCACCAGGTGCTGCGCGTCGTCCCCCAGAGCGATGAGGAGCTGCAGAAGGTGCAGGAGCTGCAGAGCCTGGAGCATCTGCAGGTACCGGCTGCGGGGTCGGATTTGTGGGGTCGGGTTTTGTGGGGATGGATTTTGCGGGGTTCGGTTTTGCGGGGTTGGATTTTGTGGAATTGCATGTTGTGGGGTCGGATTCCGTGGGGCTGGACTTTGCGGGGTCAGATTCTGTGGGGTTGGATTTTGCGGGGGTTGATTTTGCAGGGTTGGGTTTTTGGGGTCGGATTTTGCGGGGATGGATTTTGTAGAATTGGATGTTGTGGGGTTGGATTTGTGGGGTCGGATTTTGCGGGGTTGGATTTTGCAGGGATGGATTTTGTGGAATTGGATGTTGTGGAATTGGATGTTGTGGGGTCGGATTTTGCGGGATCAGATTTTGCAGGGTTGGATTTCACAGGGTTGGATTTTGTGGGGTCAGATTTTGTGGGGATGGATTTCGCAGGGATGGATTTCGTGGGGATGGATTTTACGGGGTTGGATTTGGTGGGATTTTGCAGGGTTGGATTTTGTGGGGTTGGACTTTGTGGGGTCAGATTTTGCAGGGTCGGACTTTGCGGGGATGGATTTCGCAGGGTCAGATTTTGTGGGGTCAGATTTTGTGGGGATGGATTTTGCAGGGTTGGAGTTTGTGGGGATGGATTTCGCAGGGTTGGATTTTGCGAGGTCGGATTTTGCGGGATTTTGCAGGGTTGGACTTTGTGGGGTCGGATTTTGTGGGGTCAGATTCTGCGGGGTCGGACTTTGCAGGGTCAGATTTTGCAGGGTTGGACTTTGGGGGGATGGATTTGGTGGGGACGGATTTTGCGGGGTCGGATTTTGCGGGAATGGATTTTACGAGGTTGGACTTTGCAGGGTCAGATTTTGGGGACACCCCCAGCCCACATCCCTCATTTTACACCCCCCAAACAAAGCAGGAACGGGGCTGGCTGTGGGATTATGGGAACCAAGCGGTGAAAG